GCGAGAAACATCGACGTGAAAGGGACACATCGAGTGGTTGCCACCCACACGACCCAACCAGGGCAGGGGACAAACTGCAATTGAGGTACGTTCCGGGTCTCTCTGGACTGCAGGCCGACGCTCTAACTGCTGAGCCAAACCGGCCAGGGCCAGGATGACATTTTTCGAGTCTGTTCTCTAGGACCACACCTGGCATCAACTGTTGTTCCAGGCGAGCCTCCCCCGGAAAGACGTTCTGGGTTTTGCACGGAGACGTTAATGGGAGGGCTCGCAGGCCGGCACCTGCGAGGGAGCAAGGTCAGCAGACGTGGAAGAGGCAGACGTTTAACTGTGAAGACAGTTGTAGCAGAGCCTTCAGCTAACCCAGGAGCAGCTCTGAGGCTGGGGTGGCCCTTCCCAGATGTCCTGAACAGAGGCAAGAGGTCCAGACTGTGTTCCCCCGCGTGGACGGTCATCGGAGGGATGAGGCATCCTCTCACCCACGGGCAATCCTTGGAGAGAGGTGCAGGTGTGAGCCTTGGCAGCCAATGCCTGGCACCTGGGGAAAGGAGCTCCTCGGACCTGAAGGTGGGCTTGGGCTGTACACTACAGCATCCACTGCGCGCCCACCTTTTGAAAGACTATCCACCTCTGGAAAACAGGCCGTGTTGGAAGTGTGGCATTATGCCACCCGCATCTCAGGAGACCATCAACCGCATGTGGACTCTTCCGCTGAGGATGGCACGTAGCTGTTTGACTTTCTGGGGGGTTATTTTGAAGCCTCCTTTGCACAGAGTGGCTGGTTCACTGCTGGTCTGAATGGGGCCCATCCTTATTTGGGGTTCAATATCTGCAATAGTACAGAAACATTTCCTCAGGAACCTTCCAGACCTCCTGGACCTATGTCAAAGGCAAGAAGGGATCGCCACCTTCTGGAGAAAGGAAGGACCTACGGCTCCCTGAGCAGCGGGAGTCGCTCTGTCCCACCAATGGAAAGATCGTGCGGGCCCCATGTATGACTTTCAATTTTCTAGTAGCTACATGAAAGAAACAGGTGAACTTGATTTTAATAATATGTTTTATTTAACCTAACATATATATATATAAAGTATTGTCATTTCAACAAGTAATCAATATAAAATTATTAGTATTTTTGCCCGGCTGGTGTGGTTGAGCATTGACCCGTGAACTAAGAGGTCGCCGGTTCAATTCCCAGTCAGGGCACATGCCCAAGTTGTGGGCTCGATCCTCAGTGGGGGGCATGCAGGAGGCAGCCAATGATGTTCTCTCTCATCTATGTCTCTATCTCTCTCCCTGTCCCTTCCTCTCTTTCTAAAATCAATTTAAAAACTATTGCCCTGGCCGGTTTGGCTCAGCGGTTAGAGCGTCGGCCTGCAGTACAGAGACCCGGGTTCGGTTCCCGCTAAGGGCATGTACCTCGGTTGCAGTTTGTCCCCGGCCCTGGTTGGTCGTGCGGGTGGCAGCCACTCGATGTGTCCCTTCACATCGATGTTTCTCTCTCTCTCTCTTCCTCTCTCTCCCTTCCGCTCTATCTGAACAAAAAATGGAAAAATGTCCTCGGGTGAGGATAAAAAAAAAAAAAATAGAAAAAAAATTATTAATATTATATATATATTTTTTGCACCAAGTCTTCAAAATTCAGTGTGTAGTTTACACCTACAGCATATGTCAACTCAGACCAGCCACATGCCAAGCGCTCAAGTCACATGTGGTTAGAGGCCACAGTGACAGGCAGCCCAGATCTGGGCATTAAAGGCTAAGGAGAGAGCAACTGTACGCGCAGGGTGAGTGTGCATGGACGTGATGTGTAATGTGAGTGTGCATGTGTGGAGTGTGTTTTCATATCTAAAGAAAATGGGGAGCTGGGGACCTAAGGAAAGGTGGAGGTGTCCCGGAGACTTGACCTACTGAGGGCCATTAGGAGAGGCTGGCTGGTTTTGCTCAATCATTCAAAAACGTCTTTTGAGCGCCTACTGTGAGTCAGACCTGTGCTGGCTGCTGAGGTTACAAAGATGTAGTCTCTGTCCTCAAAGTTCACAGCCCCACGAGAGAGACAGGAGTGAAAATATGGTTGTAATAGAGGGTGAGAAATACAATCATTCAGGTTTTACTGGAGGGGGGCGGGTAGTGGTGGAATGGGGCCCTTGGAAGACTTCACAAGCCCATGATTCTTAACAACCCACAGCTGGAGACTCGAGCCGAGGCCTCTCTCCAGCCAGACCCTGAGGGTGAGGGAGTAGCTCTCCTCCCACTCTTCCTTTCCAGCCAAAGCCCCCAGTGCTGAAGGTACTCTAGAGCCCCCCAACATTGGCTCCGGGGTAGGAGGAGTTCTCTGAGTCCATCTGGATTTGCTCGCACAGGGAGGCTTGGAGGGACCAAGCAGGCTGGGGCTCCCCCAGGGGGCCAAGCGGGGCTGATGCACACTTTGTGGGTCTGGAGAGGTGGCCCAGTGGCTGGTTAAGATAGGGACAAGACAGGGCCTGCTTCCCTTAGATCAGCTCACTTGGCTGCCAAGTCTGACTCCTCCTGAACCACACCAGTTTCTTAGCAAGGGGAGTGGCCAGGCTGGCTCAGTCTCTGGCAGGCACATTTGTAAATAAGGGAAATTCCCCTGAGAAGCACCTAGAGTCCCCAAGAAAGGCTGGGTGTTGGGGCCATGAGAGGAGGGGTTTCTCCATTGGGGAATGAAGGTGTTTTTGTTTTTGTTTTTCATTCAACAATTATGAAAGTCGAAACTAAGCAGATGTTCCCATTCAGATTCACCCACTTGCCAGCCTGGGTGTGCAGACACTGGCTAGGGGCTTGGAGTCTGGGAATGAATCAAGCTTCAAACCATGTCCAGAGCATCTCAGGTCTGAATGAGGTCACTGAAGGACACCATGAAGTAGGCAGAAATGTATTGAGCCTCTCTCTCTAAAAGGGCTCAGATGCAGCTTAAAAGGGCTTAGAAATAGCATGACAGTTCCTTGTACTCAGTGGATGGAGGGGGGAAACTAGCCAACTGGAGAAACAGAAATCTCAGGCCTTTGACACCTATCACTATGGTATATTATTCGGCACAAACACTGTGCCCTGTTCCAGGCACTGTACTAGGCATACATACACACATAAATACAACATGATCCACATTCTCAAAAGGGGTTTAGTAAGGGAGAGATCAGCCTTTGTTTTGTTTATTAATATATATATATATATATATATATATATATATTTTTTTTTTTTTGTTACTCCCTCACCCGAGGGTATTTTTTCCATTGATTTTTAGAGAGAATGGAAGGGAGGAGTGCAGGGGGAGAGAGAGAAGAGAGAAACATCGATGAGCGAGGACACATTGATTGGTTGCCTCCTGCATGCACCCTGACTGGGGTTGGGGATCGAAGCTGCTAACAAGCTATGTGCCCTTTACCGGGAAATGAACCCAAGACCCTTTGGTCCGAGGGCGTGCTCTAACCACGTAGCCATGATAGCCAGGGCTAGAGATCAGCCTTGGAAATCAAGGACTCTTACATACAGCCTAGCAGGTTCCTGGTTGTGGGGGATAGCACAGTGTGGCATGATGCTTTACAAAAGGGGGACTCATATTTCCTCCCTCACAGGCGGGTGATCTATGTAAAGCATTTAGTGTAGTACCTGGCATTAAGTTGCCGCTCAATAAACAGTAGCTATTATTAGCCATATTACAAGAAGCTGCAGAAAAACATGGCACATCTTCTTGGAGTGCCAATTTTACTCAACAATTAGGGAGGAAAGGACATTCTTTTTATATTTATAACTAACACAGGCATAAGCTGATGTAGAATGCAAAACTCACTTGGATTTTTGACATCCAAGATTTCAGGTCTGCATTGTCTTGCCCCTTCAGCCAACTTGCACACCCTCCTTCCCCAGTGGACGCAGGAACCAGAAAAGCTTGGAGTCAGGAAACCTGGGGTCCAATTTGCCTCTGCCAGTTACTACCTTGTGACCTCAGGCACTAAATTAGTATAATTACTTTTTATATTTTAAAATAGCAATATGAAGCAGACCATAAGTACAACAGTTCTGCCAATCTAGAATTTTAGTGTGGGTGGGGGTAGGAGGGTTGAAATATTAAAATAGTAGTTAAGCTTTATTGAGGGAACTGTATGCCAGGCACTGTTCTATTTCATTTTATTCTCCCAATCGCTGGATGAGACAGGTACTGCTATTATCACCCCTATTTCACAGATGAGAAAATTAAGGTGAAAAGAAGTTTATCAGCTTGCCTACCTTTATAAGATTAATAATTGGCAGTGCCAAAAATTAGAATCTATGACTCCTACTTTTAACTATCCGGCTATCTTACCTCTTGCCATACATAAAAAGCCTCATGGAGTTTTGAACTCATTTGGATGGATTTAAAGGCAAACCCTAGGGGTCACTAATACCTGCTGATCTTTTCTGATCTTTCTCTGGGCCTCCTTCACCAGTGTCTTGACCAATCAATCCCTAAGGAGTCATCACCTTCCAAACTTTGCATGGAATTCCCTAATACAATTTACTCAAGGTACACTCTATACATAGCTATTAAAGCCTTGCTTACACGCTGACATGGAGTCGCTTTTTAGTTATTTTATATGTATTGTTTTGTCTCTCCAATTAGATTGTAAACACCTAGAGGACAGGGACTGCCTCGCTCTTTCCGTATCCCTCCGACTAGGCTGCAGACGCCGAGGAGCACATTAGCTGTTGTTGACAGCCTCCGCCCCACCTCCGCCACTCCCCTTTTCTTTGGTGACCACTACACTTCCTCCACCCTGGTCTCCACCCCTTCCCCCTCTCTCTCTGCTTTTATCCCCTCTGGCCCCGCCCCTCCCTCGTGGAGTCCACGCTTTACCCCCGCTCCCTGCAGCATCTCCAGCGTCCCCTAGCGACAAGGCGGTAACTCCTAGCAACCGCATCTCGGGTCCCTGACGACGGCGGCACGTAGGGCCACGTCAGCGCGCTGTGGCCCCGCCCCCGGCGCCGGCTGGCCCCGCCTCCCCGTGTCTCGGCCGCCGCCGCCGCCGCTGCCGCCGCCGCCGGAGACTCGCGCAGAGCAGTTATGGCGGAAACCGCAGCGCCCGCGCCTGCAGCTCCGGCTCCCACCCAGGCCCCGGCCGCGGCCCCAGAGGCGGCCCCGACCCCGGACGCAGCCCCGGCCCCGACCCCGGCGCCCGCCCCGGACTCGGCCTCCGGGCCGCCCTCGGACTCCGGCCCCGAAGCCGGCTCGCAGCGCCTGCTGTTCTCTCACGACCTGGTGTCGGGCCGTTACCGCGGCTCGGTGCACTTCGGGCTGGTGCGCCTCATCCACGGCGAGGACTCGGACTCGGAGGGCGAGGAGGAGGGCCGCGGGAGCTCGGGCTGCTCCGAGGCGGGGGGCGCGGGCCACGAGGAGGGCCGGGCCAGCCCGCTGCGCCGCGGCTACGTGCGCGTCCAGTGGTACCCGGAGGGCGTCAAGCAGCACGTGAAGGAGACCAAGGTGCGCGGCCGGGCCGGGGGCTGAGCAGGGCACCTACCGGCCAGACGCCGGGCCGGGAGGGAGGGCCGGCGAGGCGCCGTCCGTGCGGTGCTGCTGCAGTGGGCCGAGGTGGGAGGACAAGCCCCGGCGGAGGGGACGCTCCCGTGCAAAGTCATTGCACCAGCCCCGGGCCACCGCGCCCCGGGCTCCACCCCGCGAAGGGACCTCGGAGCCATGCTGTGCTGTGGTGTGGGCCTCAAGGTTATGTGCGGGGTCCCCGCCGCGGGGGACTCCTCGGGCTCCGAGGCGCGCCGGGCATCACACCAGTGCGGCGTTTGGTGCGTCCAGAAGGGAAGGCCGAGCCGGGTCGGCGCAGGGAGGGGCAGTGGGCAGGTGGAAACCCCGCGACTTACGAACCCGGGAAGTTCACGGGCTTGCGGAATGCGCTAGTCTGGGTGAAGTCACCGAACCCCTTTTGGTTTGACTTTGTTGCCGCATTTGAATTGCTGCGGGGAACTTTGTGAGTAAAATCACTAACGATCAGAGCCGGGATATTAATAGTACTGGGGGAGGGGGATGTGACAGCTGCGCCTGGGATTGATGCCTCCTAAGTACAGCTGGACTTCTTGGGGGGAAAAATACTATGGAGCCATGGATGGAGGATAGCCTCCCATTTGGGGACCTGAAGGGGTTTTTCTTGACCTGAGGCTGTGAAGCAAACATAAGACTCCCATAAAGTATTTCGGTGAGGCTGGTGATATTGCAGTTTTACCAAACCCAGGGGTTTATCATCAGAAACCTGAAACCTTGAACCAGGATTGGTTTGGTGGCTTTTCATGTCTTGTTTTCCTGAGTGTGAATGCTTATCAGTGTTTCACACGCACATGCAACCCTGTATCTTTCACCCCTTCTTCACGTCCTCCTCCTACTCCCCTGTGTGAAAACATTTCTCAGCAAGAATCAGGGCTGGGTTGTTTTAGCTGCCTGGGACTGAGAGGGCACTTCAGAAGTGAATCTGGGTTTCTCACACACTGGGAGGCAAAGGCGACAGGAATGGGGCGTCATGCCACATTACAGACGGGTCTGTGGTGAGGGCTTGCTGGTGCTCATGCACCCACAAACACAGATCTACACACAGGACCCCCGCTTCCCCTCGGAGAAATGCAAGTCAGGTAGGTGATGGCTTCTCTGCTCAAGAGAAAATGATAAGTGTAAAAGTACATGGAAAAGACTACTTTTTGGAGCAGAGTAGTGTTAAAAACTACCACCAGTATTGTTTTGTCGGAAAGAGACTTTTGCTCCGTGTACTGTTTGTGCACTGTCTCGCTACCAGATGGTTGCCCGTGTCTTCCGATGGGCTCTTTAAAAAATGTCTTTCCCTTGCCCGGCCGGTGTGGCTCAGTGGCTGAATGTCCACCCATGCACCAAGAGGTCACCAGTTCGATTCCTGGTCAGGGCACATGCCCAGGTTGTGGGCCCGTTCCCCAATGCGGGGTGTGCAGGAGGGCGGCATCGATGTTCTCTCTCATCAATGTTTCTATCTCTCCCTCTAAAATCAATAAAGAAAAAAATATTGAAAACAAAAAACTGCCTCTTTTAAAAAAAAAAAAGTTTTTCTTAACCCACTTCTCTAGAAGTCTGTGACTTCTGGAATGCAGCTTCCTGGGCTCAGTCATGGCCTCTGGCCCCGAGGCTCAGGGAGCAGGCCCAGCTTGCCACTGGGAGCTGCCATGTTTATCAGTTGCTCCTGTTCATCTTGATTTTGGTGGTTAACTTTGTTTACAGTTATGTTCCCTCTGCCTCCCCCCGCCCACCGTGTGTAGTTATACAGAGTTTGACTTAAAATGCCCATTTTGAACTAAACAGAAAATAGCTTTAGGCCAGCTTGGATACATTTTGAAGCTGCCCTCTTGTGACTTGCTTTAAATTGGTTGAAATCCTCAGTGACTCTGGTGGTGGTGTTTTCTTTTGCCATTGTAGTTTCTGTAGACCCCAGGTTTAGCCAAAGCCAAGGGGTGGAGGGAGTCTAGGAAGTGGTGGCATGCCCCTGTATGGATGGCAGGACCCAGTTCTTCCTTTAAGACATGAGAAGGTTTGTGTGGGGAGAAAATTTATTCCTGACAGGTAGCTCTCTGTTACCATGAGCCATAGGCACAGGTGACCTTGGTCAGCTGAACGTGTCCCTACTTTGTTCCTGGCCACCGACTAGAGTGGTCGGGTGGGTCCTTGCTTGCAGCACTGTGATTTAGGAAGATTTTCCTTCTTGCTTCCAATTCCATATAAATCCATCGAGGTGGCAGCATGCTATAAGGGAAGACCATGAGGCCACGACAGAGCACTTAGGACTCAGTGGTTCTCAACCTTCCTAATGCTGTGACCCTTCAATGCAGTTCCTCATGCTGAATGTGGGCGGGCCCGCCTGGAGATGGATAGAGGAGCAGTGTCTCGGGAAATATGTGTTTTCCGATGGTCTTAGGCGACCCCTGTGAAAGGGTCGTGTGACCTCCAAAGGGGTCGTGACCCACCGGTTGAGAACCGCTGATTTAGGTTCTGATGTCTCCCCCATCACTAATGTGGTTATGAGATTTGAGAACCCAGTTATTGGTAGAATAATGTAGTAACAGTCTTGGGAAACATTTCTTTTTGAAGTTTTCACCTATTGGAATTTTTTAAAAATATGTTTTTATTGATTTGAGAGAGAGAGAGAGAAACATCAATTGGCTGCCTCCTAAACATACCTCAACCCGGGATTGAACCTGGGCCTGTGCCCTGACCGGGAATTGAACTGGTGACCTTTTGGTGCATGCGGTGATGGTCAACCAGCTGAGCCACACTGGCCAGGGCACCAATTGGAATTTTTTTTTTCCTTATTGATTTTAGAGAAACAAGGGAGAGGGGGACAGAGATACAAACATCGATGAGAGAAAACATCGATTGGCAGCCTCCTGCTTGCCCCACATGGGGGATTAGGCCCACAATCTGGGCATATGCCCTGACCAGGAATCGAACAGGCGACCTCTTGGTGCATGGGTTGATGTTCAACCACTGAGCCACACCAGCCGGGCACCTATTGGAATTTTTATTATTTTTTAAAATTTATTCATTTTTTTCATCCTCATTCGACATTTTTCCATTTTTTTGTACAGATAGAGTGGGAGGGAGAGAGAGGAAGAGAGAGAGAGAGAGAAACATCAATGTGGAAGGGACACATCGAGTGGCTGCCACCTGCACGACCAACCAGGGCCGGGGACAAACTGCAACCGAGGTACATGCCCTTAGCGGGAACCGAACCCGGGTCTCTCTGGACCGCAGGCCAACACTCTAACCGCTGAGCCAAACCGGCCAGGGCTGGAATTTTTAAAATAGTGTCGTTTTAATGTGGAGTAGTAAGCTATGGAGTATTTTTGTAGTTTTCGTGTTAATTTGGTGGGTGAGGAGTAAAGGCTTAATGTTCGTTTCTTAATTTCTTTTAACTTTTTTTTTATCCTCACCCGAGGATATTTTTCTATTTTTTGTACAGATAGAGTGGGAGGGAGAGAGAGGAAGGGAGAGAGAGAGAGAAACATCGACGTGAAGGGACATATCGAGTGGCTGCCACCCGCACGACCAACCAGGGCCGGGGACAAATTGCAACCGAAGTACGTGCCCTTAGCAGGAACCGAACCCGGGTCTCTCCGGACCGCAGGCCGACGCTCTAACCGCTGAGCCAAACTGGCCAGGGCTCTTTTAACTTTTTGATGAACAAATTTCAAAAAGAGGGGTGAAGAGACTGGCCATGAGTCCTACCTCCTCCTGGCCACTTCTATAAATTTAATCAACAGAAATAAAATATGAATTTTTTTCTTAAAACTGTGGAATTTATGGTCTGGTTCCTGAAGTTCCAGCAGCCAAGGGTAAGCCTTTGTAGGAGTTGAAAGAAGCCTTTCCTCACTCCTGAGCCCTCAGCAAGATAGCTGATTTATCCACTGGAAACTTTCCCCATTTGGCCATAGATCTCCTTCTCTGAGACTTGCTCCTCCCCATTAGTGGTTGTCTCTTGAGTAAAGTTTCTGAATAAAGCCAAATGCCGACATCCTCTTTACCTTCTTGAGCACTGGCTAGCATGGTGGGTCTTTCTGGCCTTCACCTGTTGTGGTTGGGCAGAATGCCCCACCCTGTGGGGAAGAGAGCCGACGGCCATGTTTCCGCCCATGTTTGGGCTTCCTGTTCATGCTTTAGTTCTCCCACTCTTGTGTGCTCTTTTGCTTTAAGTTGCCATAACATTTAGGGTCTCAGCTGGTTTGAGATTTAATGTCTTTAAATTAAAGCCGTGTCTGTAATCACCCAGCTTTTTGCAAGGCGGCGTGTGTGTGTGTGCATGCGCACGTGTGTAAAACATCTCTGATGACAGGTCCCTCAGGAATTGGCTTTTCGATTTATTTTTGGCTTCTGCTCAGGCCAGCATTTCCATAGAGAAAGCTATTTAGGTGTAACATCATAGCATGTGAAGTTTGCTTGCCTCACCTGACCAGGTACTGGACCCATTAAATGCAATTGTACTTTTTTTGTTGTTGTTAATCCTCACCTGAGGATATTTTTTCCATTGATTTTTAGAGAGAGTGGAAAGGAGGAAAGGGGGGAGAGAGAGACACACACATTGATTGGTTGACTCCGCATGCACCCTGATCAGGGCTGGGAATCAAAGCTGCAACCAAGGTATGTGCCCTTGACTGGGAATTGAACCCATCACCCTCTGGTGCGCGGGCCAACGTTCTAACCACAGAGCAACGCTGGCCAGGGCAAAAACAATTGTTTTAAATGAAATAATAGGAAGAAGTTATGTAAGGTTACCCAAGATGCAGGGCTAAGTGCGTCTAATTGTATTCTATTCAGATAGGATCACAGCACTTATAGACTCTTAGAGCTGTTCTGTGATTTTATTCTTTGTCCTTTGGTTTCCCCTTCTAGCTCCTGGGCCTCGCTTTCATGGTGCCTCTGTCCAGCTTGTCTCTTGACTCAAGGGCACTTTCATCAGATGAGGG